ATCTCCTGTAAAATCTCTGGTTATTCACTCACTGATATGAGCTACTGGAGTGGTTTGCTAGTGTTTGTGGTGATGGGAGCACTTATTACAAGGACTCACTAAAGAATAAATTCACCATCTCCAGAGACACCTCCAGCAGCACAGTGTCTTTACAGGGGAAGAGCCTGCAGACTGAAGACACAGCTGTGTACTACTGTGCACGAGAATCACAGTGAGAAAATGTAATGGGAGAGTGATACAAAAACTGATTTAAATGAGATAAGACACAATAATACTGACAAGGCTTACTTAAAATTATGTCACTTTACCGTCAAATGTATTTTTTTACATATTTATAATGTATTACTTTATGTCGTCTGCCACTTTGTGGTTGAATTTCTCTTCTTCCTAAACACTTCCACTTTGCAATAATACCACATACAGCTGACTGTGGAATATCTAGCAGGGATGAAATTCACAAACTGACTTATTGCAAAGGTGGCATCCTGTGACAGTATCACGCTTGAATTCACTGAGCTCTTTAGAACATCCCATTCTTTCACAAATGTTTGTAAACCTGACTGTATGACTAGGTGCTTGATTTTATACACCTGTGGCAATGAGCCTGAAGAAAACACCTGAATTCAGTGATAAAGAGGTCTGTCTCAATACGTCCATATAGTGTATGTCAAATCCTCCATAGCAGCAGATACTATTAATCAGTAATCTGCCGTATAATGATAATGATGCTGATGTAAAGCTCTGAACCCCCCGCTACCCTGAATTGAACAAGAGGCTACAGGAAGTGGATGGATGGATGGATGGATGTTGATGTATAATATAATTTATGTATATAAAGCCTTATATTTAACAATGATTTTGATGACTGAGACTCAAAAGTTTTGAAGCTCCCTGACATTTCTCTCCTTTCATATCTTTTTAAAGTAATGAGTTTACAGGGGGTGTGAGTCTGAGGGCTTCTGATGAAGCTGCAACCAAGCGGCCAGGACAGGACAAGGCAAAACTGATATCATTAATACTTTTACATAATCTTTGATAAAATCAGGACTTTTTTAAATCCAGATATAATGTGTTACAGAGCCGCTCAGTTTAATTTGAATGCCAGGATAAAAAGCTTTAAGTCAATAAGAAAAATAAATTTATTTCGAAAATGTTTAATATAATTCCTGTGTTCTCACTGTTCTGTAGCAGGGGTGATTATATGGATTAGGGCTGTCACTTTCAGTCTAAGGAAGTATGGGGTCCAATTCGTATGAAATGTGAAAATAGGCTGAAGGCTGTAGAATCGCCTGTGGTCTGCAGAAACAGATCGATTATCAAACTACAAACAATCAGTGCAGTTCCAGCAGGAACCACAAGATGTCCTCAGTGTGACAGTAAATGCAGGTAGCAGAGGGACACAAATATCAGACTGAGACCCATTATTGATAGACTATAGCAGCTGTATTGCTTGTATAAACTGTTGTAAATCTTGCAATATGATTGTCATATTTTAAGAATCTGAATAGTTTTACACTTGCAGAATATTTCATTGTGTGAAACTGAGTAACTGGCTTGTTAAAGGAATATAAGAAAATAACATTTTAATCTTGCATAAGACAAAATTAAACAAAGTAATTAAATATATACTGTTACATATTAGTGCATTTTAAAACATTTACAATGAGGTCATAGGGAAACAATTTTAGATTCTACAAAAATTGTGCGATTATACCTTGTGGACCTAATTGCACAGAGATAATGTTTGTATAATAAGTCTTTATGTAACAAATAAATCTCTTTATCATGTGACCATTTCCCCCCACAACCCGCCCCACACCCATCAGAGGAGGATCCTGTACAAACCTGCCATAGCTTTTAAAGGAGCCAGTGTCAGTGTGTGACAGAGAGCAGCAGTCACTGGGACTCAGTGTGTACTTTACCTCAGTGCTCCTCCCTCTGTCCTGCAGCCATGAAGCTCCTACCAGCCCTGTTCACCCTCACAGCACTGGCTCTCTCAGGTCCCTGTCTCTCTCCGTCTCTCTTTCTCTCTGCATGTTTCTTTGCGCTCATCTAATATTCTGCTCTGCCTCTTTATTTACAGGTGTGAAGGCTCAGATTGTACTGACTGAGTCTGAACCAGTGGTGAAGAGACCAGGAGAATCACACAAACTGACATGTACAGCCTCTGGGTTCACATTCAGTAGCTATGGCATGAACTGGGTCAGACAGGCTCCTGGGAAGGGACTGGAGTGGATCGCTTATGCATATGGCAGTAGCACTTACTATTCCCAGATTTTTCAGGGCAGATTCACCATCTCCAGAGATGACAGTAGGAACCAGCTGTATTTACAGATGAACAACCTGAAAGCTGATGACACGGCTGTGTACTACTGTGCCAGATACTCACAGTGATGGGGGCTGTGGGGAAGCCGTACAAATACTACTTCCTCATATAGAGAGTAAGGATGTCACATTATTATTTATCCTGGAGCTGAGAGTATCTGTTCATTTTTGACATTCAGATGATGTTATAATAATAATTTAAAAAAATATTAGAAATATAATTTTTAAAAATGACAATATTTAAACATTTTAAAACAGTGACTTTCTCCTATCTCCATATGTAAGAGCAGCAATACTTAAAAACTGTAACCTCTGCAGCCAAATGACCACA